GAGCTGCGGTGAATGGCGTGAATCAAGGCCCACGACTTCGATGCTGCTGGCCAACAAATTCGTTCAATCGAAGCTCGATATGTTATAAAGTTAGTTAAATAAATCGACCAAACCGAGCGAAGAATGCATTGCTCTCTACACGTGAAAGAGCTGGACGACTTGGCGAACGTCCGCGCGGCACACTGGGCACTGCTGCGACGTTTGTTTCATGTGGTCCGCGCATCGCATGCACACGGCGGCATGACCGCAAGGGACACACACTGCATTTTGGGGTCCGTCAAAACAGACCACGCACTCGCCAGGCACAGTGGTTTCTAGATGTGTCGAAGCAACGTGCTCTTCCAAAGGGGGCGCCGAAGCCGCTGCTGCTTGCACAGCCGCGACTGACACAGATGGCGCGTACACAAAGTTGTCGTCGAGGGCCTTGGCCCTGGGAAGGAGCGGCGGCTGTTGAGCGGCCTCGGAAGGTACTTGCGGAATGGGGGGCATCGATTGCAGTGGAGGTATTGGCGGGGCGATGGGAGTAGTTGGCCCTGGCTCTTGAGGAGTCGACACGAACTCGACGCCGGGATGGCCCATGAGGTGCGGGTCCACCAGAGCGTTGACCGCGCCCCCGCCGGTTAAAAATGCTGCCCAGCTGTTGAAGCTCTCTTGGTCGGGTGCAGCAAACTCGCGCTCATGGAGAGCACCGACGAGTCCCGCGCCCTTCTTGCGGGCGCCAAACACCTTAAACGCGAACGGCTTCGAGTCGAACATCTTGGCTTTGGTGTGAAGCGTCACGGGAGACGGCACGTGCAACATGAACGTAGACTTTGGAAGGGGTGATCGCTGGCCTTGTACGACGTCGAAGAAGGCCATCTCAAGGAATTGCGGCGATCCCACGCGCAGTATGATGACGTAGCGATGGGCCCACGACTGCAGCGCCGACAGGCCAAGCAGAGACGACCCCATGTTGTCCACGCTCTCGTACACCCACCCTTGGAAGACCTGGGTGCGATTCTCGAGCAGGTTCACGCAGCCAGCCGCATTGAGCACCTTGTTCTCGACGCTCCGGCGCGCCACTTCCAACGGTGACAAGCCGCGACTATTTTGGATGTACGGACTCACACCAGGAATAGACATGAGGTACTGGACCACCCCCATCGCGCCTTCTTGACACGCGTAGTGCAGCGGCGTGTTTCCTTTGTTGTCCATGGCGTCGATGAACGCGCCGTGTTGAAGCAGGACTTCCACACACAGCACATGACCGTGCGAAGTAGCCATGATGAGTGGGGTGCGGCCGCGGGAGTCCTTGTACTCGAGTAGCTTGGGCCGCATCTCGGGCGTCGCTCCATCGAGGATCTGAAGCAGCATTTGAACGTCGTTCTTCTTGGCGCAGTCGTACACCATGTCTGTGTTAACGCCAAACGTGTCCTTGACCCACTGGACAATATCTTGAAGTTTGAATGGCGCGGGGGCCGGCGCCGCCGACGGAGTGCGCAGCGACGCTTCCATATCGTTCACGTGTTTCTGCACGCGCTGGCCAAAGCGTTCAGCATGTTCGCCAAGACGGTTTGCATGGCGCTCGATCGTCTTGGTCGACGCCTCTACCGTCTTCACAAACGTGTCCATGTGGGTGATTTGGGGGGAAAGTAGAAATGGCCAGGCGATTGACGAGGAAACCAGAGCGTTGGTCAATCATTGACGAATGCATGTGCATCGCAGCAAAAGACGTACATTCTGCAACGGAATGCGGATCACCTGATACTTTGTAGAACAAGGATGGCTATTCCGTGCACAGTACTACTAGTAGTACCTTCGTATCCGCTGGCTCGTCACAACCGGCCGAATTAGGTTGTGTTGCACGGCCTGATACGGCCGACACACCGGCGGTGTCCTGCTTCGATGGAGAAATGGGCTGCGTGTGTTGATAAGTTTGGAAGCAAGATGGATCGCCTTGGAGACAAGTTCGATCAAGCGATGGAGAAGTTGCCTCAAAAAGTGAACGCTGCGACTGTCGCGGGAGCGCGAGACGCCGACGCGGCCAGGCTGACGATTGCACCATGGGCGATGCAGTCTGCAACCATGCTGACTGGTGGAGCCATCGATGTTTACCGCGCGGCATCCACAGGCCAGTACCAAACCCTCGTCGACCTCTTGGCACACAATGACGGAGTTTCGCTGGAATACCTGGACCCACATGACCGTACACCTTTGCTGATTGCATGCACGAAAGGACACCTCGACTGCGCGCAGTTTCTGCTGGCGCGCGGCGCGAATGCCGCTGCCATGGACAAAGATGGAAACTCAGCCTTGCACGTGGCTTGCTTGCATGGTCGAGTTGGCGTTGTCGAGATGCTGCTGCAGACGTCGTCACCGATGATCTCGCCCTATATGTTGAATAAAACCGGCCAGTCGGCACTGCGGTTGAGCCGCATGGTTGTCCAAGCGAAAACGGACGGGTGGCGTCAAGTTGTTCAGTGCATCGAAGCACTGGAGCAGGTATGTTGTGCCCGTCGAGTCTCCATCTGCGCCACGCGGCCTCGTGGCCATTCTGCGGCTCTTCTATGTGCGATTTGAGTGATTCCTTTGGTCCATGCGTGTGCGGTACGATTGGTTTGCATTCGAGTGCGTTTGGAATGCCTCGAACGCGTTGGTCTTGCCAGTCGGCTAACCTCGTCATGTGTCCGAGCGTAGCGCCTCAAAGTGTTTGAGGGATGGATTTACCACCGATCGCAGTCCATGTTTGCGTGGCAGTCGTGGGAGGCTCGATATGGCTTGGTCTTGCGAACGGGGTCCACGATGTTTTTGGAAATGCATCTCTTCGACGTTCAACACGGTCGCCGGACTCCGATCCCCACGTACGTTTGGCGGCCATCCATCTATGTATCGATCATCCAGACCATGGCATATGCTGAATAGGCTTGTCTTTGACATCCAAGTCGACAAGCCCGTCACGTTGTATCGAGACGGCGACGGCCTGAATCGAAAGCCCTTGGCCATTGGATTGGAGTCACAGGTCCTGGCTGCTTTGGACGAGTCTGGGTTTGAAGCATGGGGCGCGTTCTTCACGTCATTTATGGTACATCGTATCGATCGATCCATCGCGTCGATGGCTCATGCTGTGGTAAAATCCAGACCTCAGCTGTGTACGATGGCGCGCGACCACCAGCATCTGCCGCCTCCTCGGCCACGAATGACCGCACCCCGCCACCTTCCGTGAAGGACATGTCCCAGCCACTGGATGAGGTTCATGCTGTGTCAGCTTCGCCGCCCTTTGTTCAAGCGTCAGCACCAGCATGGGAAGCCTTCAATTCGGTTGCTATGCCACCAACGGAAGTCGCTCACGCTTTGGCAGCGATGCCGCCATCTAATCTCAAGCAAACATCGGTCAAGTCGGTTGATGTGGACGAACTGTCGAGCTTGGTGACGGACGCTAATCACGCCACCCCCGCTCCGCCATCGGCACCACGCATGGTCGACCACGGAGACAGCATCCTGATGCACGATGCCACCGAGATGGGCGGCCACGGAGGCGAGTTTACCAGACGCAATGAAGCATGCGTTGTGTGCATGGTTCGCTTGAAGCAAACGGTGTGTGTGCCGTGCGGCCATGTCGCCGCGTGCGTCATGTGTGCGGAAACCATACACAGGACATCGCAAACCTGTCCCGTCTGCCACACTCCCGTCAAAGAACTCGTTAAGCTCTGGCTCGCTTAGTAAAGAATATTTCAAAGCTAAATCTGTCCAAGGCTGGGATTGCTACAACTACCAAACAGGGGCCCGGGGCCATTTCAGGCAATATTGACAGCACAACACAGGAACCATTCAAGTCGCTGCACCCTCCGTCGTCATTGAGATGCCGCCGTCGCGAAAGTATCCAGCCACCAAGCCATGCTATGAATGCGCACAATTCGTCGTCGATGTCTCGTATGCCAGTCGCATTGAGCTGGTCGTTTGCGCGACCAGGTCGCCGACGCAAGCGCAAGTGGTCGCGAGGCTTTCGGTCGGTGTGGCAAACCGAACCCGGCTTTACAATGGACGGGTCTGTTTGAAAATGTTCTCAAGGCGAGGCCGTTGCTCAAATTACTGGCATCAAACTTTACAACCCTCTTCGGCACTTGCTAGCTGGATGCTGGTGGATCGGCATATCCCAGAGCGTCCATATACTCCTGCGCCATCGACTGAATGCGCTCGCGCAGTGGCGCGGGCAACGTGCGGTGGCGATTGACTTGGTACGATTGCAGCGCGGCAACTTCGGCAGCGAAGTGCTTGGAAGTGTCGCTTGTCCAGGCGACGTTGGCATGGTCGTAGATCTTTTGGAGCGTCTCGCTCGGATGTGTCGTCAGTTGAGCATACGAGACTTCGAGGATGTCGTCGTGGATCATGCGCTTCACCTGCGAACGTTGGGATGGCGCCACCGCCGCTGCGCTGTTGTACTTGCGCCACATTTGGTCAAACTGCCAAAACAAGTACTCGTTGACCTATAAGTCGGACGACGACGACATTTCCAGCAACGTTCAAGCAACCTTGAGGAACGTTCGGTACCTGTTCGTCGGTCGGAGTCGACAAGTACATGAACCAGAACGCTGTGTTGGCCAAGTGGGCAGCCGATGCCATCGTTTCAAACGGATCGCGATGCATGTAGATGAAGCGTGCATGCGGGAACAACTTGCGCAGCAACGGGACCCGGGCGGCGTGGATCGGCGACTTGAGCACCAGACGATGGTTCAGTCCAGACGACTTGGATCGCAACTGGTGGCGCAACGTGAGCTTTCGAAGCAGGTACAGGAATGCAGAGGTCCACGTGGCTTCGTCTTCGGGTGTTCCGCCATCCTCTGAACTAAAATCGAGGAACCGCCGAAACGACGGCTCGCGAGTCATCAAGTAAATAGGCATGTAGTAGCTCGCCCCGCACGATAAGAGCAGCGTGGCGCACTCATCTTCCTGGGGCAAGTCAAAATGCAGCGGCATCGAGTCCATGGGTCGCGTCGGATCGATCGCACCGGCAAAGAGGCGCTTGCCCAACCCTTCAAACCATAGAAAACACGACGGAAACCCCGTGCAAAACGTGGTGCACGTGTAAAAGTTGGTCACGTCCGATGCGAGGAGGTTGTGCAGGAGCGTCGTGCCCGTGCGAGGATGGCCAACGATAAACACGGGGTCGGTCGGCAAGTCGACTTGGTTGATCATGGCGTCGGGATACACAACACCCTCGACAAGACCCATGAGCGAGTTGAAGAGCGACAGAATCGTGAGAAACATGGCTCGCGGGACGTAGCACCAGTCGAAGTGGCGCCACTGCTTGCTCACGATCTGCCACCACTGGCCAAAGGTGATGCCACACATTACGTTGTTCTTGAATGAGTACACGTGCTTCCGGTCAAAATGAAACATCGACGCATTGGCTGCTTCTTCACGCATCGATGCGTCGTCGAACCCGCGCACGGCGACCCCAGCGCCGGCGGTCGGTTCACGACCTGCCACCACCATGGTGGATCAAGTGCAAGATGGGATGGCGTTAAACTCCAACCAAAAGCACGTTAAATTCATCACTTCACGCGCAAGCTGCTCTATGGGTCATATGCTGAACAGTCCAGGAGATGGACCATGAGCAGCGCTGGCGCGGTGTGCCACCCACTCTACGGCCTCGTGAACCAAGGCTGGGTGCAGCAGGTCCATGGAGACGTTTGTCTCTTCGAGGGCTACCCTCAACGCTCGGTGTACTCGGCCCATTGGCGTTGAAAGTCAGAATCTCCTTGTGTTCGCGTTCGCGGAGGCTTTTGTGGCGGCACAGATGTATGGACCGCTTTCATCACCCTTCTTCAGGACGGGTGTTGATGGAAGCGACAATACCTCCAAGAGCGTAAGGTTGCTGTACCTGTCTTGGATTGAGAACTCGTGTGTGTGCAATGTGTTCCAGGGCTTGTCCTTGGCGACGATATAGCCACACGAACGAGGTTGCCATTCCATCCGGTCGACAAGGCTTTGAAAGAGTTGAGTCACTTGGAAACATGGCATCGGCGCAGCCTGAATTCACTCAGTCAACAGTCTACTACTTCTACCGACAGGACTTCACTTCCATCTGAACTCCATTTCACTTTCTCGTGTGGTGGTATCCATGATCCGGGCCATCGCGGTCCTGTCCATCCTCTTCATCGTCGTGGAAAGCCGTTGGGCTCGCCGCATGATGCATCATGTTCCAGTACTCGGCGTTGTGAATTTCGAATCGGCGGCGGCGAATCTGTCGGCCAAACTCGCCAACTTCGCCTTCGTGAATGTCGTGGTCAAGGATCACATCGAGTACCGAGTCGCACATGCGGCGGACCTACGCCAAGTTAGACTACCGACACACTTCCATCCATCCGACCCCTTTTTACCTCGGCGTTGGTCGCATCTGCGGCCAACAACAAATCGGGCAGCATGTTCGTCCCGTACAGCACTTCGTCCAACGTTTCGGGGTGGCGCAGCATGCGATAAAAACAAAAGAGGAGCTGCAACATGATCTCGTGGTCGGTCTGCTTGTCCTGGAAGACAGTGTGGAAGCTCCGAACGAGGCGGGACGACGTGATGAGGGGCGCACACTTTGGCTCGAGCATCAGCGCACTCACAAACATAATCACTTGGAGCACAATGTCATCCTACCCACAAGGAATCGCGGATAAACGTTCCATGGGATCGTCGCGCTGTCGAGTACCTGGGAAAAGCCTGGCACGAGCAGCTTGTTCAGGAACGGGATCACGGTGTAGTACTGTGCCAGGATCTTGTCCCACGACGTCTTGGCCGGCAAGTCGTTCGGCGTGAGGTTCCCCAGTACCCCGAGAATCTCTACGACAAAGTCGTGGTTGTCCGAGCTCTGGGCGAGCTCGAGCAATGGCACAACATACGGAGCCCACAATCCCTTGTGCTTGTACATCTTTTCCGACGCCGCGTCTTCTTGGAGGCTATACGACCACTGGGAAATATTGCGAATACACTACAACGTCACCATAAGTTCCATCGAGTGATTGGATGGCGCCTCGAAGTCGAGATGGCGAGCGCACCTTCATGAGGAGGACATCCCGCGTGCGCAAGACCCGAGTGACGAGCGCGTCGAGCCCCTTGTTCTGGGCCATCATTTCCGCGTTACGACCATTGACACTCAAGTTGACCGCGAGCGCCATGAGTTCCTTGGCCACCATGTTTTGAGGAAAATTGATCACGAGCTGCATCACGATCGGAATTGCCTCCGTGTACGTAAACATGGACTTGCACCGGTCGTCCATGCTCAAGTGGTACAGAATGCGCAGCGTGAGCGCTCGAAATGGAGGCTTCTTGAGCAGCTCGACGAGCTTGGGGACGAGGCTGTTCTTGACCATGGTGTCGCGGACGCGGGCGTCCCACGACAGATTAAAGAGCAGCTTCAAAGCGACCTACACCCCACCCACATGGCACGTATGAAGTGAGTTGCTCGACTACAACTCGCCACAAATGCATGAACGCACTTGGACGGTTTTGTCGTGGTTGCATTTCACATATCGAATGGCTTTCTCGGGCACTTGGAGCTCGATCATGGCGTCTTTGTTCTCCTCAAACACGCTGCGCACACCATTCGACATGAATGGAACGATCCGTCGATCGTCGTACCTGAGCTTTTTCAAAAACCCCAACGTCAACATGACCAAGTCGGGCGTCACGCGGTCCAGCATCTTGGCCAGGAAGTGCACGATCTTCTTCTTGACCATCTTGCGCTCGGTGTGGATGTCCTCCGACAAGTTGAAGAGCACACTCAAGCACACGTATCTACCGACCCGATTTCATAGGAGGTATTCATGCATGGGTCGTACAGGAGCTGGTCTTGTTTTTTCGCCCTCTTCTTGCTCTTTTTGGCCTCCGCCTTGAGCTTGGCAAGGACGTCAGGCTCGTGGTTGGCCTTGGCTATCGTGTCCTCGAGCTGCTTCTCTTCCTCGACGCGCAACTGGTGGCGCTTCACTTCAAAGTCGACGATCTTCAACGTGATCGCACCGATGCGGTAGTTGCTCAGGATCGGGTGCAGTTGGAGAAAGTTCGAGTAGCACCAAAAGATGCGCATCATGTGGAGGGTAAAGTCGTAGTTCTTCTTGTACTCGTCATTGAGGACGCGGGAGAGGAGGCACTGGAGGAGAGGGCGTCGAGGGTGAGCACAGTGACGCCTTCGTCATAGTCACGTACCATCAGCGCTTCGTTCTGAACAAGCATTTCAATGTTGGCGCCGTACTCGGACAGGTTGAGAATCTGCGTGATCCCATCGAGCTTGGACTCCATGTCTTCCTCGTACAGCTTCTCCATGTACAAGTCGAGGTCATCGGGGTTCGAGAGTTGCCGCGATGCGAGCGGGTCCTTCTCCTTGCGCTGGTCGTCCCGATCTTCAGAGCGGGAGCTCCGGCGCACGGTCGACTTGGCCTTCACCCCACCACCAGAGGAACTCATACTTGCTCAAGTTTTCGTGGCCACGCACCCCTTGGAACAAATCCGACCGGTTACAAGATGTGTGACCGTTTCACGTGGCGTAACCGACTCGCACGACGTGATGGGACAAAGCGGATGACAAGGGAAGGAAGTCAAAGGAAGGACCTCACGCGATCGCGCGCGATGGATCCGCGAGATGCGCCTGGTGTCATGTGGAAGGACGGCAGCCCACGTCGTGCGGCATGTGGACTTTGTTCCCACGCGCATAGCCAGGTTGAAACGTGTCGAGAGTCAACATCGCGGGCGGCGTGCCTTCATCACGTCCACGAATTTGTGGAGGGCCTGGCAAGAGCTGAGTCCTGTCCCCGCACTTTGAGTCTGCATCATTTGATTTCTGGAGGTTGGAACCATGCGACACGTGGGCAACGACCGACTCATCAAAGAAAAGACTTGCGTCTGCTCGACTCTCTAGCAAAGGCGTTGCTGGGACCGCAATAGACCAAGCCGTGGCATGGAATGGCAAAATGAGACTCGTTACGATTGCTTCTCCTGTCTGACTTGGTCGATCTCGAGCTCTGGGACAAAGTAACTGGCGTTGCAATAGCTACACGACAAGAGGACCCCGCCTTCTCTGGAGAGCGCTGCTAGTTCGGCCTGAGGCACCGAGAACAGCTTCTGGACGAATTTCTCCTTGCTACAGCGGCAGTAGTAATCGACAGGGACGCGCTTCACGTGCTCCTTGGTTAAGGTCACTTCCGGGAAGATCGTGTTCAAGTATGCGAGCATCCCTTGTGCCTGAACAAGGTCCATCATCGTGGATTCATCGAACAGGTCTCGACGGTCGAAGAGCGAAACAGCCGCGTTTGGCATTTCCTGGATGGTCACTCCACAGCACACTACAGCATCGTCGTTCTTCGACTGCGTTTCGAGCTTCACGAGCGTGGGTGTCTGCTCCGACATGTCGTAGAACATTTGCCAGTCCTGTGTCGCATTGCCCGAAGCTGCCAACACTGTCTTGTACGGCGACGCCGCCCCGTACAGCACCTTGTTCACCTCAAAGGCGTCTGTAGCGTTCGCGTCGACGTCGTGATGGATGTACCCGCGGATTTCACCCACGCACATGGACTCCACATAACCATCAAGCTTCTTTGTGCGAAATCTCATCGCGACGCGCTCCTCGCCCTTGAAAAACGAGCTTAACATGGCCGCGCCCGACATGTATTCGCCCCACACCCGCGCGGCGTCGGTAGTGATCGGTGCGTACTCCTTCGAAGAGTTCCACTTTGCCCGCATCGTGTTGACGACGTTAGGGGCGTAGATGGCCGACACCCGGTGGCCCAACACGTCCACGAAGCAGCGCGACACGAGGTCCCGCGTCCGATCTCGAGCGAGTTGCATCTTCGATTGCTTTCGAACCAATCAAGAATGTGGTTGGTCATTTCAAGCAGGTCAGGACATTTTAGACGTATGTCATATTGTTTTAAACTACCCACTTGGTATTTTAAAACGATCGGGTTGAATTTAAAAAACTCTCAACAGCCTCTCAAATATTATACGCGAGTAATGCGAATTGCAAGGTTTTTCAAACTTCGCGCCTATTGCAACGCATGCCATCTTGGCGGCGATTCCATCACGTCGAGGAGCGCATCCATTCTTGAACATGTCGTCTTGTAGCACCGTCGGTGGAGAATGGACTGCGAAACTCGGCCCTCGTATGGAGACGAATGATGCCGTGATCCAGAACACTGTTGAGTACGTGCGTGGAATGCTTGCGTCGAACGATGCTTCCCACGACTGGAACCACATTGAGCGGGTCTGGCGTATGAGCGTGCGTATTGCAGAGGAAGAACAAGTCGAACGCACGGACTGTGTGGTGTTGGCGGCATTGCTTCATGACATTGATGATTGGAAGTACACTGGCTTGGACTCCACCGACCGTGCGCGAGCGTTCCTTCAAACACAGGTGCTAGTATAGATATGATGCATGTCGTTGGTAATCGAACTTCGCCCCAACCGTGTAGACCGTCGACGCAGAAAAGATTGAGTTCGTGCTGAAAATCATCAAGGGCATTGGCTTCAAAGAAGAGCTTGGCAGCGAAAAGGTATGTATGTAACCACGTCATGTCTCTGCCTCTACTTACAATACTCGTTTCAGATCGAAATGTTTCCAGAGCTTGCATGCGTCCAAGATGCTGACCGACTGGTACGACAAACCTAGAAGTTCCTAATGTCCCTTATGTCATTCCTCTCGCACCAGGACGCCATTGGTGCGATTGGGGTTGCGCGGTGCCTAACTTACGGCGGTCACAAGAAGCGCGGGTTGTACGACCCAGCCATTCCCCCCCTTTCTGACATGAACAAAGACGCATACATGGCCAACAAGGGAGGGCTTACGCTCAATCACTTTTACGAGGTACCTTCGATCCTTTGCCAAGCCCATTCATACTAGATGTCGTCGGTAGAAACTGTTCAAGTTAAAAGACATGATGAAGACACGAGCTGGGCGCCGCATTGCTGAATCTCGGCACGCATACATGGTCGAATACGTCGAGCGAATCCAAGCGGAAATCGCGGGGTGGGCCTAGCCCTTGCCATGTGGATCGGGCTGTTTCAGCCGACCAATCTGGCAGACGAAGCCGCCATTGTTCAATTCGCCAACAAGAAACGCAACCTGTCTTCAATTCGATCGTCTGGAGTGGACTCCGCAGTTGCAAACAAGGGTTAAATAGCACGCACTCCAGTCAACTAAGCTGAGGTTTCGTCGATAGACTGAGCGAAGTCGCCCAGCTGCAGCACCCATGTCGCCTTTGCTCCGTGGCGCGCGCATCCACCGTTTAAAGTCGGGTCAGTATTTTCATGCAGCATGCATGCCTTTATCAAGTCTCTTGGCAGCATGGAACGATAGCTTGACTGCGCATTGGTCTGCACCAACCCCGCCAGGAAATCGAGAAACTGTGGTGGGTCGCCACTTGTTGCATATTCGAGCAGGTGGGTGGCGAGCCACTGCACCATCGTAAGTCGACTTGTTGCGCTGCTAACAGCATCGCACGACCACAGTCCAACAGTCGATGCATGTAAAGTTGTGGCACAGTTGCGTCGTGGCCTTGTCAGGCGGCCAGCGCCAACGCGTTGCCTGTCCATACACATGAAGCCCCCGGACGACATCGAGGTGACCGTGCCGCGCTGCCACGTTCGTGTCGTTGGTGCAGCATGGAAAGACGAGAGTCGAGAAACGTCGGACAATGTGTAGATGACTTTGCGCGGCGGCGTTGTCTAGAATCTAGCAGGTGCGACCGAGGTAGGAGCAGGATGAGGTCAGACCTTTTACGAGACACAGCATGCCTTGATGCGCAGCCACCGTGGCTGCCAAGACCATGGTGTCTGGCAAGTATGATGTAGGGTGAGCCAACTCCTCGGGGTGCATGACGAGGTCTGCGACGTCGTTTTGGCCGCGATGGATGACAGTGGCGTCCACAAGAGCTACTCAGCATACCCGAGGCATCAATCGGTGTCGCCGCAACCACCTGGACCAACGCGCGGTAGCAGCATGTTGTCGGCTGCACGTTTGGCAGCTGTCGACCAAGACCCGAGTGCCGCGTGAAGACCAGCCAGTTTGGAGTGACACAATTTGAACCGCGAAGGCAAGTGCAGGTGATGGACTGCCAGAAAGGCATGGTCCATTCCATCTTGGTTGGCAAAACACTTGAGTCCACGGGCAGCGACTTGCGCATGCGTTGGTGTTACTGACGTGTCGCATGCCCGACAAGCAAAAACGTTGAAGGGGCAAAGATGGCGCAGGACAATCTCACGGCGGCTTCCCCCCGCAAGGAGTGTGTCAAGGTGGCCAGCGGCGCGAACAAGTCCAAAGCAGACTGGATGGAGTGGTGTCGCAGCCTTTGTGGAGATTCGAGCTCGCTCTTCTCGGAGAGATCGTTGACAACGCGAGGTCGTGCTCTCGATCTGTGCGCGTTTTGTACCCGTTTCACCATTGGAACAAGGTGTCGGCAGAAACGCCCGCTCTCCCCCTCGCAGTCTTCTTTACCGGTGTCTCAACGAACACCAAGCGCCAAAAAATTCGTTTCGCACACGGCCGAGACGCATGACGGACACAGTCGATGTCGACGCATCACACCCCGTGCCATTAACTCGAGCGCAGCACGATGAGCTTGCAGCCGTGTGGGAACAGTGCAAAACCGAAAAGGAGCAGCACCTGCGAGCCAGGATGGACAGCATGACGTTGGCGATTCACTCGTTGCGCGCTCAGCTGGAGGCGCTCAAGTCATCGCGAGCACTTCAGCCACCGACATCCCACCGACATCGCGAATGAACAAGCTTGGTTAGACTATGGAGTAAGGATAGTGTAACATAGACCCACCTGAGTTCCATCTCTTATACATCTGGAAAACCAACGTGCAAGGACGGCAGAAACTGCTGAGCGCAATGTTGCGTGCCGCTTGACGCGTGCACCGACCGCCTTCCCTCCACGCGGCTACGGCATGAAAACGCACCACGACATCCATGGTCTCGTTGTATTACGAGTTTACTTTCAATGGTCTGGACGCTAAATACTGCATGACGTCGAGTTGGCCCATTTGCGATGCCGACGCAAGGGCCATGTCCAAGTCACCTTCGGTGCGCGCATGGACGAGAAATTTCACAATGTCCAAATGTCCATTCATTGCTGCAAAGTTGAGGGCGTTTGGAGTGCATCCGACGCTGTGTGGGATCGCATGAAGGTATTGAATCACGGCGAGGTGGCCGTTCCAGGCGGCCATATCCATCGCCTGGGACGTCCACGCTTCGCTTCGTTGTTCGTGCAAAAATTTCACCACTTCCAAATGTCCATTCCACGCCGCGCGATCCATGGTCCATCTCGAGCAGCCTTCTCTCCGGTGGGCATGCAGAAACTTCACCACATCCAAATGTCCATTCCACGCCGCCTCGGTCATTGCGTCCATCGTGCACCCTTCCATGCGGTGGCTATGCAGAAATTGCACCACATTCAAATGTCCGTTCATTGCCGCCATGTCCATGGCCTTCGACGTGCCGCCCTCGCTGCGATGGGCATGCAGAAACGTCACCACGTCCAGGTGTCCATATTTCGCGGCCCAGTTCATTGCATCGACAGTACACCCAGGGTGGTCTGTCTTGTGGAGAAACTGAACGACGTCGAGGTGGTTGTTGGACGCTGCAACATCGAGCAACGGGACAGGAAACGTCAGCACGAAATCGGCGTAGTGCTTCGACATGTACTGGATCGATGGAAGGTGGCCAAAAATGACGGCGTGAAGGACTACGATCTCAAGCATGTGCGCGTGGCATTGAAACATGATCTCGAGGCGGGTCGTGCCGTACTCCTGGAGCCAAGGACTCAGCACGACGTGGTATTGGAGGATCGACTTGGACGGTTTGCCCATAAACGACGACGGATGCGATGGCTTCTTCAGGTGATGGAAAGGCAGCATATCGCGGTACTCGCCATATTGATAAGCGGTGATGCAGCGAGCCAGGTCGGGCGTCGCCAACACAAAAGCGGCGGCAGTTGCCATCGAATCTGGCCCAAGCTGAAGCAGCTTGTGAACAAAAGAACGAAACGTACACATCCGGATAAATTCAACCGTATGTCGGATCTTTCCCATCGAATCTACTGTTTGACCATGCTGTTCTTCGCGGCGCGCTGTGGGGATGGCGCTCGCGATGAAGAAGAAAGACTGCATTCGACATATACAGGATTGGGAACCTTCATCGACTGCCCTGCCGCTTTTGGTCAACAACACGCCTCGGTCTAGCATTACGTGGGAACGATGACTTCGCCTTTCGACATCTTGAGCAGTTTCTCCACAACGGTCGGGTCGTCTCGAATCCCGGCATGTTGGTACTCGTTCGAGACAAATACATGGCAGTTGTCGCCAAGAAGCGCCGCTGTCCGCATAGATAACGTCCGGTCAACGTACAAGTCATCATACGACACGAGTGCAGCAGTGGGGATTGCAATGTCACGAAGGTTCGCTTCGTTGTACAGCGGACGCCAGTCGGTTTTTTTGGCAAGGATATTCGCGGCATCGCGAAATGGCCCGAGCGTCTCGGGAAAGTCTTCAGCCATCCACGAAAACACCATCTCGCCACTGAAGTACACAGGCGCCTTGGTCGCTAGTTCAACCAACTGGGCATGGTCCAGCTCGTCAAAGCGGGAAGGGTCAAACAGCGCCTCGCCACGAACCGTAGTGCGGTGGTGAACAGTCTCGGCGGCCCAGTTCGACGGCGAGTACTTGGGTCCATCGCAATAGATCGTTTCATGCATGAACCAGAACATTGGGTTCGTGTCGAACGACGATTGCAGGCTCGCGACCGACGTCAAGAACACGTGGGACAACTGCTTGGTCGGCTGCAACGCCGAGGACGGCGAGTGGAAATGCGACACCCACGCAGTCTCGAGCAAGTAGTGGAGGGTTTCCATGCCAGCAAGCGTTCCCAACGACAGGCCGAGCATGAGAAAGCGTCGCGCCGTGAGGATGCCACCACCACTCGGCAGCTTGACTGGCTCGCGGCGCAAATGCTGTACGATCTCTGCGACCTTGACCTTGTCCGAAGGGTACCGAACGTAGTAGCGGCGGTTGCGCTCGATCACGTTGACGTACGTAGCTTCGTACACTTCCTGCGCAGTCGCATGCACGGGAGCGAGGCCGCACGTGAAGAGGAGTCGCTCGAGCGAGTCGGGGAAGAACGACACGTAGCTCAAGATACAAAACCCGCCAAACGATTGCCCAAGGAGGGTCAGCTTCTGGCCAGGATACCTCGTTTGTCGAAACAGCTCGACGTCGTGCACGATCGAGTCAGCGCGAAAGTGCGTAAGGTACTCGGCGAGTCCAGCCGCATCCGATGCAAACGCTCCGCACGTTTGTGCCGTCAGCGCCGACGACAGGCCCGTACCACGCTGATCCAGGAGCAGCACGCGGTAGTCGGCTAGCATGCTCTTAAGCCAGCCCGATGTCGGAGCAGTGAGACGTGGAGATGGAAAGCCCGGCCCCCCTTGAAGGTACACCAAGAGCGGCAATGCCGCGTTCGTCGCATGCTTCTCCGCGACAACTTCACGAATGTACACAGTAATGGTCGCCGTTGACGAAGGCGTAAAGTGGTCCAACGGGCACGTGATGTAGTGGTCGGTGGCCACGATGGCACCAGGAAGGTGCTCGGGAGCGGATGACTTGATGATGGACATGGCGGCGACTTGGCAGATTTCCACTTGTGCACCGAGTGCATCACCCGCGACACGGTAGTAGGTTACTAAATAGTTCTAGTATCCACCACTAGATGTTTGTATGGAGATGGCTAGTACATTTGACGTTGGGGACTTGTCTACCATATGAATATAAATATATGGGATGTTGATTATCGCAAGGACATTTAAAAGATTATCCATTTAGTATGGATGTGGTGTGAAACCTACTACTATACATGATGCATGACGATCTTGATTCGCTCAACTTCAACAGACGATCCACTCCAACCGAGGCGACAACCTCAACAACATCGACAAGGCATGCATCAACGATAGAGGCAACTCTGGCTCATCGCCGTGTGCTTCAAGTCCGTCATCACGCATACAGTCGACAGCGTCATCAGGTGTACCAAACGCGCCGTTTCGTGTGCCCCTACTCACAACGTCACGACCAATCTGGGCCGCCATGTTGTCGTTGGAAAGAATAGCCCGACAAGTGCGGCTTCCTCCGTGACATCGATTGCGCGGGACGCCTTCGCTCGCGAGGCTTCGTCGCATGTGGCCAAGCTCACTTTAGCACTGGCAACTAACTTGGATGACGCCACCTCCAAGAGCTCCGACGCATCGGCCGGACTGGGCTGGCTACAGCCAAAGCGCGAAGGTGGCGTTTGGTGGCCAGTGTTTGCCCATGGTCCGGTCCCCCTGAAGTCGAATTCGACATCCGGGATCCTCGATGACTCGTGCGAAGCGACCGAGACGTCTGTGTATAGCTTTGGAACGTACAAATTGTACGTGTCAGTTTTCCTTCTTCCTTGACTTGCAATGATGTGTGTGTGGCAGTGCCATCCACCCTGTCGTAAGCTTCAAGCCATGGCGCGGCTTTCAGCCCGTGCGATCGAACTGGCGGCTCGGACGATCGTCAAACGTGTATCGCCAAGCTCTAGCCGAGGTCGAGGTGACGATGTGCATGTCTCGTGGGTTGGACTTCGGACCAAACTTCCGCCGAGTAGAGCTTTTTGAAGCAAGCGAAGGCGCCACAACTCAAGGATGGATTAGATGCGAAGGGCGTGGTCGACATCGACCTGCATGTACGACTTCGCTCGCTAGCGACCCAGGACCGTAGCGACAACGACGAAGGAGTTGAAGCTGCATTCGCAGCGCACTCGATTGTGTGGGCAAAGGTACCTGGGTACCCCTGGCTACCCCAGCCTACGTCCTCGATGTTTACCAGTACGACTTGTCACGAGGTAAAGCCATGGCGCGTTCACCACCACTGCTGGGAGGACTAAATCGTCTTCAGCGTATATTGTCCCGAACGTTCAAGGCTTGGTGCAGCTCTTGGACAAAGCCCTGCGACACCGTCATGCGCGTGTGGTGTACTACTTTTAATCACACAACTTGTACAAGAATTTGCTGGCCTGCGAGTCGTCATGCATTTGTAGCGGACTCCACAACGCGCATGGCGGGACGTTGGACGAGTGGCGGGGTGCAAAGCACGACACCCAACCTTCCTTAAGGCTGCCGCAACAAGCACGAAGAAGTCATTTGGAATGGGTTCAAGTCGCGCTGACCGAAGTCGAGGTGCCTGCCTTACCGCCTTCCCACTGGACAGAACATTATTCTCGTCATGGCAAGGGTAGAAGCTGCAAGCGACGCAATGACCTCTGCATTCTTTACAGGGGACGAATGTGTTGCGCAAGTTGACGACGCCACCACCGGCCAAGCGCAAGTGCAGCCATGCGAATCCCACACTTCTGGTGACCTTTCGGACGCACGCAAGGATTCGTGCCAACTCGACGGTGTCGTAGGCAAGCTCCATCGCGGGCCAACCCCCCATACGTGGCCATTGCCAGACAGACATACTCGACAACTTGGCGTGGATGCGTCGGGCGTCCTGTTGGCCGTGGATGCCTGTGTTCGTATTCGACCAGACCGCGACATGGTTGCTCAACCAAGCAAGTGACTCTGCCGCTAGGCCTCCCCACAGCGCGAATGGTGTGTCAGTGCCGTTTGCTTGCTCGATGGATCGTATTTTTCGCTAGGGGGCGCGGACCTCTCGTTCGAACGGGGAGAGTGCAGTGTGTACGACTTTGCATCACGTCAAGCGTACGGCAGTCGACCTTTGGATACGTGCGTGACGTCCGCTGTGTCCGGATCAAGTGCAAACTCACAAAGTTAAAGCCGTGGATGCGTGACGACGTGGAGGAATGCATGGTGGGGAAGCCCACCGACCGCAACGTTGCCCCCGTGGCGATGATGCAATTTGACACGGCCATGGCGTTGGTGGAAGTATGCTGGCTCGATTCGACCCCCCCGCTCATTCTTTCTGGCTAGACCTTGATCAACACAGCCATGGACGAGTCTTTGGGCTCCAGCTAGCCGAACCTGTCGATGAACTACACGTCCTTGATCATGCATTGTGCAATTCTAGAATGGTTTGTCCGCTAGGGTAATGTGACATGGAGTGTCTAGTATTGTGGCCAAGGTTGCGTCCACGATGGGGTGCTGCAACTTGACAGCAACCGCTACGGATGACGGGTCGATCTCCATCCAAGTGTGGGGGCGTCGCACGTGATGAGACAGGAGCTCTACGGGTTGTGGCACCCTTGCATGTCGAGAGGGTATCGGTCCCGCTTTGGTTGTTCCAGTGCCCAGAC